ACTTTGTAGCCCAGGCTGGTCTCGAACTCGCAACGATCCTCCTGCCTCAGCCTCCCAAGTGCTGGGATTACAGGTGTGCGCCACCACGCCCGGCTTCATTCTTTTTATATTTTCCATTTCTCCCATTTAGTTCAAGTCTTCTTTAAATCCAGGGACGTTATTTATAATCTTTTCTAATATCTGTTTTTTGGAGGGGAAGTACTAGGAATCAAACTCAGGACCTTGCACTTGCCAGGCAAGTGCTATGCAGTGAGCCATATTTCTGGTCCTTACTATCTGTTTTAAGGTCCTTGTCTGTTAGGTTTTTTGATTTTTTGTTTTTGTAAGACAGGGCCTCACTATATAGTTCAGGCTGGCCTTGAACTCACTATATAGCTGAGAGTACAGTGTTTCTCCTGCCTCAGCCCCCTGAGGCCAGGGATTATAGGTGTGAACCACTACATAGTTCCAGTAAAATAGAAGAATTCAACTCCCTTCCTCCCCCTCCCTCCCTTCTTGTTTTCTTTTAAACATGGTTGAAGCCGATTTTGAGGACAGGTTAAATTCCTTGCACATCAAAGTCAATATTTTCAAGTCTTTAGAATCTTAAAAGTTTGTTTAAAATTTCTTACTGAAGTTCAACAGATATACACAAAAATGCACTTACTATAATTTTAAAAATTATGACCAACTTGAATTCCTCACTATGTAATTGGCATTTGGATCAAAAGGCACCACATTAGTAGCATTCCTAAAGGCCTCTCCTACTATATTTCTCAAGGCTTGATTTTATGCTTTATTAGGACAGACATAAAGTACTTTTACAGCTAACTCATACCTAGTATTAAGTCATGACATCCTGGGGTCTTTAGTGACTGTCCTTAGTGATCAACCCAGGGTCTCTACTGTGGGTAGTCAGAATCTGAATGATCCCTAGGTCGCTGTGAGTTTTGGGAACTGTTCATCTTGTAGATCCCTATCAGGAGTCTGACCCTACACATCCGCAGACTAGTCTTCAGCAGGCTGACCAATTCAGACTTCTGGAGCTCTTTTGCTCATTACTCTTGTCTAGTATTCTCACTTGTAAACTTAAACCATTTCTGTGTCACACTCAGATCTCTAACTTTTCAGCTCATTAAGATTGTTGCTTTGCTTTGCTTTGCTTTGCTTTGCTTTGCTCTGCTTTGCTGGAGACACCATTCTTGTGCCTGTGTCTGGAAAATGCCTCAAGGTTGAGAGCCTAGGCCTCATCTCACTTGTTTCCTCTCACCAAGAGCTCATACCCTCGTACTGCTTGTTATCCAATCTGTGAAAACAATTATTTTCATATTTGACTGGAGTTTTAATAGTTAGTGGTTAGAAGGTTAATCCAGTTCCAATTATTACATCGTGGCTAGAAGTAAAACCAAGGTTTCCTTTAACAAAATTTCTAGCATGGATACCATATTTTATAAGATTTCATCTACCAGAATAACCCAACCCACGTGTGCCTCCTGTCCTTCCATCTATCTATTCACTGGTTGCTAGATCTTTGGGAAACACAGATGAATAAATGGTTCCTACCCTCAAGAACTCATGAAGAAATCTAGGCTTAGAGAGCTTACGTAATTTTGCCCAAAATCAAGTGACTATGGGACTGACACGCTACCTGCTGCGCTAACGAGGCCCCTTAAAATCATGTGACTGTAAGTGAGGAAGCCAGAATTTAAATACAGCGAAGTCTATAGATTCCAAAGCTAACAAAATAAACTTGCCTTGATCTATAGACAATGGGGAGTTATGGAAGTATTTTTTGTCTTTAGAGGATTTTTTTTTTTCCGATACCGGCAATCAAACACAAGACCTAACGCTTGCCAGGCAGGCGCTGTGCCACTGAGTTAAATCCCCAGCCCCAATTTAGAAGATTTTTAAGGTTTATTAACAGACCCAGTTTTAAGTTTGGGGGAAATATAGTTTATTACTATTATTTTTTAAAGGTCACTCTGGTGTATGAAGAAAGGCTGGAAGGGGGAGCCTGGGTCAGATGAACCAGTTTGGAGGCTGCTGCAAATAGTGCAGGAAGGAAACAGGGGCTTGGAGTAGCTGACGCTTAGGAGAGATAGAGAAGAGGATGTGGGCTAGCAAAATGTTTAAGAAGCAGAATCAGCAGCTCTGGTAAAGGGAGAGATTTTAAGGTCAACTGTGGACCAGATGATACATTCAAAGTCTGAGGACTTGTGCCAAAGGCAGGGGACACAAAGAGGAGCAGGACAGGATTTTTCCTCCTGAGAACCTGTAACTCACATAGCATGACAGAATTAATTCTCTGAATTTAGTGAAATATAGTACTCTCTGATCATATTCACTCCCCGTTACTATGGTTGAGGAAAGGGCCCCACGTGGACACCGCTGCTGTGGAACACTCTCAACACTCCTACAAACCGGTGTGCGTGCAGGAGGTCCCAGCTGCCCAGGCTGAGACCCTCAGGACACGGAGGGTATTAATGGTCCCCTGGCTTTGTCATTATCAACAGCAATTTTGTGAAAAGCAAAAACAAAGGCGGGTACCTTTACCGAACACTGACAACACTCAAGCACTGTGCCAAGCACTGGATGAACATCACCATTATTATCTACCCCAGTAATCTGAAGAGCAGTCCTAGCACTCTCTTTTAAAGTGAGAAACCAAAGGTCTGAGAGGAAAAATAACTTCTCCATGTGATTGCTTTCCTGCCTCACTGTTATTTAGAAGGCATCTTGGATTTTACCACCTTCTGGAGGTCACCACTGTCTGCCTCTACTTTGGTACTCTCTCCTGGGCCCTCCTATGCATGATTCCTATTCCTCTGTGGTCCTATTATGCTGTGCTGTGAGACATGTGCAATTTGCCTGTCTGATTCCCCTACCGGATTGTCCTCTGTGAACATCTGCCTCTTCTTCACTGCTCACTACCAGCACAGAGTCAGAGCACTGCACTCCATGCTTGCTTCTGAACTGCCATGGCTTACCCTGGGCTGCCCCAGGGCCTCAGGCATTCATTAGACCTGAGGTCCCTCAGGTTCATGTCCCACATTCATGTGAAGTTGCAAAGTTCCCGCCAGAGATACCTATGGCTTGCAGAGGAACTTGACCAGGCAAAGGGAAGAGGAAAGAAACCTCACAAATTGTGGCCTGCAGGCCTGAGATGCTGACCATGTTCCTGGATCTGATTTACTGTCCTCATCCCTGTATGGCACTCTGATTTTTCCTGAGTTCTCTGCTGTTTCATGCTCAGCGGGAGGCAGTGTACAGGAGTAGAGGCAGCGCAGGCTTTAGTGAAATGCAGACTCCCCAGTCTAATCTGAGCACTGCTTTGTAGCAAGGCATGTACTTTCTGAGTCCTTTTCCCCCTGTAAAAAGCAGAGAAGGCTGACTCCATTGGGCAACAATGCTCCTCAATGGACACCTGGGTGCAGAAGGCACCTGGCAGGTGGTGAGGCTGGGGCTCTGTGTAGCCAAGAGTCATCTTCACCTCCCTCCAGCTCTATGGGTACCGTAGGAGAAAGGAAGAGCCCTGAGAGTGGCATGAAGACTATATGAAAGGTCAAGAACAAGGGTTTGGTTCAGTCCCTAATGCTCAAAAGTCTATGTAATGCTTGAGATCTAGAATGTTACCCAAAAGCTTCACGTGTTCCAAGGCTGGGCTTTGGGAAGGTGAGTGGATCAGATCATGGGGGTGCTACACTCAGCTGTGAATTAATCCACTGAATTCAGAGCTGAATGTGCCGTTAGGAGGTGGGGTCTAGTCAAAAGAGGTGTGTCACAGGGGGCGTGACCCGGAAGGTATATCTCCGCCCCTGCCTCCTTCCTCTCTGCTTCTGGGCCACCATGATGTAAGCAGCTTTTCTCCACCCAGGCTCTCCCCTGTCACTTTTGCTTTGGAGCCAGCCAATGTAAGCCCAAATAAATCCCCCCTCCTTTAAATTATGGATGTTGGGTATTGTATCTTAGTGACAGAAAAGTGATTACACAGTGAATGATGGTAATAATTGTTTAATGATAGTAAAAACGAAGTATCTTTATAGCACCTAAATGACCTGCTCAAATCTCACAGTGAGGTAAGAGGAGAGAAGCTGGAGATCTCGTTGCAAGCCACTTATCAACAAACAGCAATTGCTTCTGAACAGCACAGTGCTGCTGGGGTTCCTGGCAGTAACAGAGCAATGCTGCCCATCAGGTCAAACGTTCTCCTTGCTAGACCCCACCCAGCACCACACAGTCCCATACCAGCACCACAAGGCTAAAAACAACATAGGCTTCTTGCAATCTGGAAGCTACAAGACCTTTGTGGATCTGCTTGCCCACAGAGCCATGGAGGGCAAACCAGAAACACCAAGAACACCCAGTTACTTTAGGCTCAAAGGAACCCACATTCTGTCCAGATCTGAGGTAATCAAGAGAGAGAGTCAGGGGACACACAGCCACATTCAGGGCACTGGCAGCAGATATCTACTGTGAGGGAAAACGCTCATGCTTCCTGATGGTCCAGGAACAAACATCACTTTGAAGTATTCCACCATACTTAGCCTGAAAACCCTCCCAACCCGACTCTGGGTGTCACTCAGGGGATGCTGTCTCATACTCTAGACAGAATGACCCGGGAAGGGGTGGTGACCCAAGCCCTGCGCAGGCTCCCTAGACTCGGGGGCCACCTTACAGGCTTCTAGACTAAAGCTATCAGAGAGAAACAAGAGCTGAAAAAGAAACTATTTCCTAACTTTCTACATTGATACTTTCTAATACCAAGAGAAACAAACCACAGATCTTTGGCCACAGAAAAACCACAGATGTCTCCCTTCCTCCTCCACCAAGATCATATCTGTTTCTGTGATGTAAGCATGCAGGAGCCAGAACCTCAAGAGCTCAGTACTCACCACATCGTTTGGGAGGCTCTGGAGGTCATCAAAAGGAGTTTCCAGGGTGTTGGTGTCCACGTTCAGAATCACAACATCATCCAGGGCCATGTTTCTGACTTTCTGCAAGTCAACAAAGTCCAGAAAAGAAAGTCATGGAAACATCATTAAGACATGAAGATATGTCCCTCTGCCTTTCTCAAGGGAAAGGAACAGGGAAGAAAGCGACATGTGACAAAGCCTTATTTTCTGGCAGTCTCAATGTGAGGTGGTACACACTTGCCATTCCTTTAATTCTCACAAAAACCATTCTAAGCTTGCACGATCACCTCTCAAGTCCTAGGAGTTGAACTGCATTTTCACAGGGGCTAGGTAGCATGTCCCTGGCCACACAGCTAGGAAGTAAGAGAGATTTTACACCCATCATTGTCTTTTTCCTGTTTTTCTTTTCTCTCCTTTCTTTGTATCAACAGAAGTTAAGGCCTACAGCTCTGGTCCCAGGAATTCTGACATACAGGAGGCTCCTATGACACATTCAACTCGTTCCCCTCATTTACCAAAGGCTACCTGCCAATCTCTCTTTCAGATCTTGTCATCCTGGGGTATGGAATATGGGGGTATGGCCTAGTGCAAATGTGTTAACATTTCCCTTGAGCATTAAGTAGGAAGGTTACACTTTCAGTCTGGCTCCATTTCCCACAGAAAGCCAGCTAGTATTGGCACTGGCCATGAGCCATTTTTCTGTTGGTACAGTAACAGAAGGGATGAAGGAGACTCATGCCTTTGAGATATTTGTGCACGGCAGAGGGAGGGAAATGACAGGACATTATGGGGTCCCCTATTGGCAGCAGCTTTCCAAAGTCTGTATCACTGTACAACAGTGGATAGTCAGAGTTTTTAATGTTCAATGCCATTGTTTATCCACTGCCAGAATCCATGCTCATTTTCTCCTGCCCAACCACCTCCCCTGATCCCATTCAGTGCTCCTCCCATCATATGTCAAACTTAGTCCTTGTAGGCACTAATTCCAAAATTGTCCTCTTTGGTTTATTTTGCCCTCTCAAAGTGGAGAGACTCTGTCATTTGTTGTCCAAGCTAGGAAACTTGTGGCAGTGGAAGAAGGCATGTTACACCAGGACAATAAGCATAAAATGGACATATGGTCACCCTATACAGAAGGGACCGCTTTCATTATTAGTTACCCTCTGAACACACTGCACATCAATGTGCAGCTTATATAACTGCCCAAAGGTGCTGACCAGCAAGTCTGGGCTGAAATCTTAAAGTGCCCGCTGGGAAGCACCAGTTGAGGTGGGTGGGAGATGCCTTTACCTAATAACACCAAAGACTGCCATATGGGCCAGTAATGCAGCTAGATACCTGATGGCTGTGAATGCCCACATTCGCCAATGCCCTGGAAACGGACATTTACAACGTACTGAAAGCCTGTAAATTTCTGCTCTGTGCTTTACTTACTTTATCTCATTTAATTTTTATCAACACTGCAAAATTGATGTCCTATCTTGATGGTATGTCATCTGAGGAGGTAAGACAGAGGTAAGGTAACTGGCCACCTTCACAGCTCATAGTCTTTGCATTGTACCATTTATTGTCAGATAAATCGTTAGCCTGAGACTGACCTCAGCATGCCTTGCCTAGTCCCGGCACCCCAGTGTGCCCCTCTGCTGAGGTATAGGTCCCTCCTGCAGCCCATCTGTCTGGCTCACCACTGTATAATAACTAGTCCCTGGCAGAGTATGGTGGCACATGCCTACAAGCCCAGCGCTCAGGAAACTGAGGCAGGAGGATTGCCACAAACTTGAGACCAATGTGGGCTATATAGTGAGTTCAAGGCCAGCTGGAACTACATAGTAAGACCCTGTCTCAAAAAACTAAAAACCAGTGCCTAACAAAATGATCAATACTTGGCAAGTGTTCGCTGACACTAGTTGATGTTCAAACTTCAGTCTCTAGAACTTGGTAACAAATTAACATGTCAAGATTCTTCCCAGAAAGAGGGTCGAACCATGTTGGTCAGAAGCCTCCTAGATTTGAAAACCTCTCCCAGGCAGCAGAAGTTTGGAACCCTTCCACTTAGGACCAGATATTCTAACTGTTTCTGCTACTAACTTCTCCAGGCACTGGGGCCAGTCCAAATCCCATCCATCAGCTCAAAAACATTAAGGGCTCACCATGAGCTGAGAACCAGAGGGGTGACTGGATCACCACCTGACAAGTTCATTTTCCCCCTCATGCCCCAGCACTGATAGTGATAGCTGCCTTATTCATAGGGTAAATGGCTATCAGCAATGGTGAAGGAGTTGGTAATAAACACCAAAAGTTGAACAGTACCTTCATCTTACAAAGCACAATCCCCGTTTCACAGAGGAGAACTCTAAGACTGGTAGGGAATCCTCCTATCTCCTTAGCTGCTTCACTGAGCTTGGTGTCTGAATAAACATCATGAACAGCATGGACAACCACGTGTGTCTCATTTCCAAGCTTGCAAAGCACGTCTACCCAGACTTTTAATTTCTACTAGTGGAGCTGGAGGTGAGATATCACTATTCTCATTTCAGAGATGAGAGCCTGAGGTTGCAAGCAGTGAAGTGGTTTGTCTAAGGCTATGTGTCTACTAATTGGCTTCTTAACCTGTGAAATTGGAATAGCTTGACCATCACTTTCTCCCACTTTCTCCGGCCTGCCAGGAAGACTAGAGAACTTAATAAACAGTGGCTATTATTAATACTTTTCATACACACAATAGCTACAGCCAGTTAGAAAAGCTGCAGTGGCAGTGGCCTATGAGCAGAAATCTTGCTAGTTCCTTGGTGGTAACTGCTTAGCTCTCACTTTGAAGGCTGAGGACAGTCACAGGAAGCAAAATCAAAGTGACAACAAGGATGCCAGCCTCAAGGATGGCACTAAGGGCGGCTGCACCTCAGCATCATCTACTTTGCCTCATTTGACCTTCCAAACAGAAGAGGGCAGGAGGCCATGGCCACTGGAGAGAAGCCTCAGGGGTTGACAGGCCCCATGAGTGGATGTTGATTCTGGACCAGAATTAGGCCTTGTTTCTGTGTCCGCAGCACACAGCCCAGGCCTTGTGGGCTCTCCACGGCTAGGCTGGAACAGGCTTTTGATTTTTTACCACTCCTGGCTGGAGGACTTGCCAGTTAAGCTGTGTGGAGTGTTTACTTTTTCAACAATGGCAGCAGGCTGAAGAAGAGGGAAAATCCTGGCCCTTTCTCCTGACTTACAGGCCAGGGTCCCCTTAGTAACCAAAATGCCCCTAGCACCAGGCTCCAGGCAGGAGCTGGGTTAGCACAGTTTCCTCTTGGAGGACAATGCTGCCCTCCTGGTGGCAAGGCCTCTTCCAAAGGGGCTGGCACAGGCTCAAGGGCCTTCCTGAAGCTCAGTGTTCCCAAGGAAAGAATTGGAGGCTGGCTTGGCCGGATGGTTCCCTACCCCTGAAAGGCTCAAGGAAACAATGAATGAAGAAAGGCAAGAAAAGCTCACATTTGGGCTGCAGGGCTGGAAGTGCTGGTGAAGAAGGAAGCTGGACGTTACTGGGGGCCATCCCATTTAATCTTAACTAGACATGAGGGAGATACTAGTGTAGCCATGGTAAAAAGGTGGAGCTAGCGGCTCAGGGGTTAACAAACTGCTCAAGGCCACACAGCTACAGAGTGGCAGCAGACCTGGCTCTTGAACACAGTTTGAAGACATCAAAAATCCATGTTCTCATGTGTGGAGTACACGTGTGGTCATATCAATGCCCTCACAGCTTGCTTTCTCTTATACAAAACAACACTTGTTTTTTGTATAAGCATTATATATGCCTATTATAGAGAAATGAGAAAGAAAGGTTCAAAAAGGAAAATTAACGTTACCCCAGCCCCTCCGTTTGGAGATGATGTTTTGGTATAATTCCTTCCCTAGCCCTCCTTCGCTACATGTTAAAACACAGTTAAAGTCACCCTCAATGCTTCTTTTTGATTTTCTCACTGATTACAATATAAGCAATGCTCCACGTCATTAGAAGTTTTGCAAATTTCATTACTAATTGCTACAGAGTGCTGCATTATATGCAAACGAACTCCACCAACCTCCTTTAGTTATTTCCAGGTTTTAAGAAATTATTAAATATAATATTGTCATGAAATGTGTAGGCATCAAGCTTTGTGCTGTAGGATGAATTCCTAGAAGTGGAATCTAGTTTCCACTTCTTAAAGTGTCCCTCTCCAATTCGACTTTTGAGAGAGATATCTTTACTTCCAATTATTTTAAAGTCATTTTATCCACAGCTTGTGTTTCCTACTCTAAGTGAAGAAAAATCAGCAAAGACACGAGCAGATGTCAAAATAGTCCTCCAAAAATCCTACCCAATTAAAACACTTACTAGTACCGCAGCACACCGAGACAGCTCTCCGGTAGCTTGTCCCACCAACACATTCCCTCTCTTTTTAGTTACAACATATGCCAAAGCTCCTGCCAGCTGCAAACCCTTCCCCCACCAGACTCTATAGGCTTTTTCTCAGAATGAAAAAAAAAAAAAAAACAAAACAACTGACACGCACACCGGGCTTTCCAAATGGCATTTCTTACATAGAGAAACACACAAAAATGGCATCTTCCCGTCAATATTGTTAATAAAAATGTCTTTCCCTATATACGCTTTGTCACAGGCAATCTTAGCTTGACCCATGCCTTTCAGACCAGGAAAGGGACAACTCATAGAAAGGGAGGTGCTCAGGGCAGGTGAAAGGACTCTAGTTCTAATGTATGAGTCATCTCCGGCTTGCCCTTACCTGGTGGGTAGCTTTAGATAGTGTACCAACCTTACAAGTCCTCTAGGTTTTCATCTGTGAAACAGGAATTCAGCTCACAGAGTTGTGAGGTTTAGATAAGCGAATGCATCTAAAAGATTTCAGTATGGTTCCAGAACACCCACAAGTACTCAAGGAATGGTGGCGCTCTCTTGCCTGTCTGTCCTTTCTTCTTTGACTGACTTCCTAGAACTCAGTCCCTGGGGCTTACCTCACTCCAGAGAGCCAGATGTGGTGGGTCTTCCCTGACCTATGCTCTCTGATGACTCACTCACACAACTAGATAACCCATCC